CTTAGTGGACTGCAATGTGCAATATACTGACATCTAGTGGTGACATTTTAAACACAGTACCTTTAAAAACTACATTTATAAATAACACTGTAGCGCTCATCATTTTAGAACTAAATCAACATTTTTCACACCCACTTAGCTGTAATCACATTAACAGTCTGCCAATCATTTCAGCCAGCTTGCACTATCTACCATTTAAAAAATGTATCTTTTTTTTATATATATATATATATATATATATATATAAAAAGAAAAAAGTTAAGTGAGCGTTTTTCTTCCATTTCCAATAGCCAGTGCCACTAGCCAAAAAGGAGCTTGTATTGTGAAACCAAGAAAAACAGATGGGTTGTGAATGGATGATGTAACAAACCAATGGGAGAGCCAGCTGCGAGGCTGTTGGGATGTGATCTAATTTTCATCCTCACCCTAAGCAGGTTTACATGGCTATAATCAGCCCAGTGCTAATCTCCACTGCACCGGCTGCACGCATGCATTCACAGGTTTCGTTGCACTATTTTAAATTCGGTGAGCATTTACGAAGATCGGAGAGTATATTTAACTGACCTTTGAACTTAGAGTAAGAAACTAATCTGTAACTTAATGTCCAGACCATCATATGTCAGAAAGCTCTTATGATTTTTTTGTGGGGGAGAGCATTTCATTCAGTTCAGCTTAAATTTGTTTAGTCATTTGAGGGCAAACACAACACAGTAAGGTCAAGACCTTACAACGTTAAAGAGAGAAACATAGCTATTTTACTGGGCACACAGAGAGAATTTGACAGCACATAACAAACACACACTCAGCTGTCAAAAGGAAATGGTCATGCTGGGGGTCACTGTCCAGGGACTTGTGCTGAAAGTCAAACATGAAAGAGCTCTACACTAAAGTTTCCACTCAACCTCCACGGCACGTGACCGAGGTCAGAGGAAGCCGCTGAAGCCACAGGGGGGCTGTGCTGCTCTCTTACTGTTAATCGGCACATGCTTGCGTGCACACACACAAAGACTGTTCATACATTAACACGCACGCACGCAAGGTTCACATATACTCACTGTTTCTGTACACCCAAACCTACCTCACCAAAGTAGCTGAAAGCTTCAAGGACATGTTGTGACAAAGGCAAAAAGCACCTCGGGGGGGGGAAGACAAGCGGGTGGTGGCTCGTCCTTGACCCTTCACCGGACCTTGATCGCTTTAACAGAGAACGAAAGAGTGAAAGGAGGAGTCACAAATGTGAAAAAGGGTCAATAAAAATGGGTTTAAGCTAGTTAAGTTACGTACTTGTGATTTTTCATGATGTTTTTATCATTATGTGAGGGGAAAAGCTCTGAAAGAAGTGTATTTGTGTGACTTAAATAATTATATTTACATACCAATTATATAATAATAAAAACTGTTATTATATAACGACAGTATAATTAGGTAATATTCATCCACACTCTTTGCACAACCGTAGAGTTTAAGATTTCACACCAAGCTAATTTTTGCTGTGCATGTTTAGTTTGTTGTGTTAGTTATTTTAGGTTAATTTGTTTCAGCATAATGAACACTGCACTGTACCCTAAATAACAACATAAAAACAACATGATTTATATTGTTTTTTCATATATTTATACACTGTAAGGACAAATCTTCTGGACCACCCACAGATTACACCTACAGGAACTGCTCAGCTGTTGAAGCTCATGCCATGAAGCTCCCGGTGCACAGTTTTCATGCTGATGATAATTCTTATGATCTGTGACTGCAGCTCAGCACTCAGTGGCCCCACTCTGTAACTTTACCCTTTTTGGATGAGTTGCTGTGGTTCATAAACACTTCCACTTTACAATAATACCACTTAGAGTTGATTATTGAATATCTATGAGGCAAGAAATTTCACAAACTGACTTGTTGCAACCGTGGCATCCTGTTACCCAGTAATCCCAGTAAGCTCTTTACACTGATTCGTTCATTCACAAATGCTTGTAAAGGCAGACTGAATGGCTATGTGCTTGAATTTAAAGGTTAAGAAGGGTGATTAAGATACTTTTTTGTCTGTGGGCTTTGACTTTTCACTGACCTGCCTGGTGCAGCAGTCCTTTTCATTTGTATTACTTGTATTGAGGTTTTTTTTTTAGTTGTCCCTGTTTTCTTTGCTTCCATTGTGTACACAGGTAATTGTCTTTCTCACAACTTGTTATCTTGTTTTCTTTGCTTTGCATTTTGAACTAAAGCAATATTTAGAAGTAAAATCAAAGCCTGATTTTTATCAGTACACCTGTGTCTGTGTGTTTCCACTTTTTGTTCTCTTACAATGAGGAAAGTATTTACAAAAAGAAATGAAATTAATTTAAAATGTCTAATACAGAGGATGAGTCATGAGTCCTTTTGTCTCACTACAGCTGACAAAGGACTTGCTAGGATCTGTGTTTTGGTAAAGCTGATTCCCTCATAAATTCTTTAATGTTTCTTTCTTCTGTTCGGTGCCAGAGGTCTTTCTTGATGTTCTGTGAGCTGCTTTATAAGTTTTCTGTTTCCAGGTTATGTTAATCCACTATTTTTTTCTATCTTACTGTTAAGAAGTCTAATGAAAAGAACCAAACTAAACAATAAAAGTCCTCAAATGTATTGATCATCAGTCAAAACCTGATGTACCTTTTTCCTTTCTTGTTGACCTCCCTGCTGTCTAAAAACGACTTCTTTTGGACATGTGTAGAGGAGGGACAGTGGTTATAGTGTTAATTGTCTCCGTTTCTTAATTGCTGCATCTTTCCCTAGATTATTATATATTCTCCTTATCTCTACTCACTAATTAGTTTTTGTTATCCTTCAGTTTACTGTGTTTTTAATTTTTCATTGCTCAATGTAATCATTTATTGTCTATTGCTTTGTGAAGCACTTTGTGTACCCCTGGTTTTAAACGTGCTATATAAATAAATTTGTCTTGTATTGTATTATATTGTATATAGTGGACAAAGGATGTTGAAAATTGAGCCGCTATGCAGGAGGAAGAGAGAAAGACCACAGAGAAGATTCATGGATGCAGTGAAAGGGAACGTGCAAAGGGTTGGTGTGTCAGAGGAGGATGTCAGGGACAGGGTATAATGGAGATCCTGAAAGAAGAAGAAATCTACTCTATAATGTTAAAATTAATGCACCACTGGTTTTAGTCTTTTTCTTGTATTTACATGCTTGTGTTTCTAATTTGCTCCAGAAATTGTTAACTCACTTCAGTATTTCTGACACGGCACAGAGTTCTTAGTGACATCTGTATCTTATTTTTATTCCAGCTGCTCACTTTAGGGATCTCCGCAGTTTATTATCTCCCTCCATCTCACCCTATCTGTGTCACACCAACCCTTCAGCATATCTGCCCTCACTTCTTTTCTTCTTGCCTGGCAGCTCCATCTTCAGCATCCTTTGTCCAGTGTGTCCACTCTCCCTCCTCTGCACATACTGTATCTGTCTACTGAGTTGCACTCCGTCACATTCACTTTGGTCAGTAGCTGTGATCAGAGAGGCCTGCTGCCACAGAGATATGGAGACCATAAAGTAACTGTTTAATTTATATCGGCCTCACATGTGGCCTGCGCAGCACGAGCAAGATTGATCTACTTTGCTAAGGCCAAGAGCCAGCAGGGACCCGTAATGAACTATCAATATGAGCACACCAGGGATATATGAGGAGAGAGCTGTGGACTCTGCGTGAGAGGGTAGAAGTGCGCCTCTGCCATGCATACAACCACTGATCTACCTTTATCTGTCACAAGCTATTACACTCAGACATAACTCGTGCTATCAAATGTGATAGAAATGACTTTTAATTTCAGTTTTATTGAAAAGATAAAAGAGCAAGTATATCGTGTAGATATGAGAAGGAGAACGACCAGGCCTGCACAATGTGTGGACCATAGGCAGGGAATGAAAACATTGGCCAGTATTGCTATCACAAAATGATTTACTATCACTCTCTGATGTGCATGTTAACTAGCTGTTGCCCAGTTAATAGAATAAACTTCAAATAAGTTTGAAAATGGTTTTATGTGTTTAATTCACATGCTTTTATTGTGATAAAAATGAGAATGGAATTTATTTATAATGTTAAGATAGTAGTGCTTAATGTTTGCCACCTCTATTGCATTATATGGAGGAAAATATTATTTGCTTGAATGTATCTAATGTCTAAAGCAAAGGTATCAAACTCGTTTTACATTGTGGGCCACACCAGTGAATCTCCTCCTTCTGTCAGTGCAAAGAAGTTAAATTGCAAACATGATATCCTGAGATATCTCAAGAGATGAAAAAGAATAGCAAGTTAAACAGTATGTGCCAGCTCTTCTACATCATACAAAAAATCTGCTCCGGCAAATGAAGAAATAAGTCAGTGTGACTGTTTGGGCTTAAACTGTAGGACATAAAAGTCTAAACTTAAAGAAAAAGTTCAGGTATCTCATTGCCCAGACTGTCCTGTAATTATAAAACAAAAATACTTGAATTCATAGAAAATGTACTACTTTTCTTCTCTTAAATTCTTTGTTGTTGTTTTTGTACTGTAGCCTACTGTCTCATTGTATAAAAGAAATTTCTATTGTTGATAATGAAAAAAAAACAACAGACATTTTCTGTATTTTCTATTGTTTAAGTGTTACTTAATGGGAATGGGAGAGGTCTTTTTCAGTGGGAAAATATAGTTAAAAGTCCAGAATTTATGCGCTCACTTGTTCCAAAGCCGATCCTGGGGACATATGTTTGTCGCCCCTGTTTTTGGGGTTAAAATGTTTGAATGACCAATGACTGTAGAAAACTTTTATACACTCGTTGGTCTGAATACAAATCACGTGTCGAACAGCGCGTGACATCAGATCTTTAAATCGGTTGAAAAACACTGTCTACAGTTTTAATAATAATAATTTAACACATATTGTAACCGGAAATAACAATTCATCGCTTTCTCTCCTTCTTGTGCCGGATGTCGTAAAGCGGGGTTAGTTTCCCGGTTACAGTTCCATGGCAACCATGGAACCTGTCAACAAGCCCGGAAAACGGAGACGTGGAAGATGTAAAAAAGGGTAAAAACTTTGTTAATACTGAAAGCCTGGGTGCTGTTTTTCAGTGCATATGCACTTAAAGTGTAAATTTACACCGTGGGTTGGTCAAAACAGCCGCTTTAAACGTTGTAATGAGCGTTTTAATAGAAAACTATATCTTGTAAGAGCAGGCTAATAGCAACTTTAAAAGGGGGGATATGTAAGGAAATATGTAGCTTAAATCTCTCGGATGTTTTGAGGTTTCACGGCTTACTTCTCACAGCATTTTTTCTGCGTGGATTAATCTTGCAGGAAACAGTCCCATTATGATGCGCTGAGCAGGCAGATGTTCCCAGCTGTGGCTCCTGGGAACCCGGAGAAGTGTGATTTAAATGAGAACCAGCTCTCCCTGCACCAACAGGTAAAGTTATTAACAGCTGATCAACATTAGGATTTTCAAAAATCTTTAGACCACTTTTGTGCATAAGAAAAATAAGAAAAGCAGTAGTAGCCTCTACATTACAACATCCTGTGGAAAAATAAATAAAACATAGGCATTATTATTAATAGTAATGATAACAGATTTTGTTATTTAGGCATATTTCAAACAGCCCGTTCTCACTCACGGGGCGTAGCATACCGACGTTTTGTCACGTCATTCCTAACATTAACCAGCAGTTAAAGGACGTAAAACAGTGTTTTCCAAGGCGATTTTAAGAAAATGAACGAACATGTGTAGTTTGAGTCCAAACGGTTCTCATGTGTTCTCTTTTTTCTGATGTTGTCATTTAGGAACGTGTTGGGTACCCTAAAGCGAAAAATGTTGACGATTTGTCACCTAGCCTAAAATGTTACGTTTTGGGAGTGATAACGTGTTGATTTCAAAACACTCGTGATCACCTTACACAGAATAGTTAAAAGGAATTTAAAAAAAAAACCTATCAAGCCAATAAACACACTGAAAGGTAATTCAGAACAGCTGAGAGAAATCAGTGTGTGGGGGGATATTACAAATTTCTAAAAGACATTCATATATTTGAAAAGAAAACTAAAATATAAATAGAATTAACACTTAAGGTGAATCACTAGCAATTGTAAGTGATTTAGAGCAGTGGTTCTCAGACTTTTGGGAACCCCCTTACAGGGGAGAAAATCTTCCAAGAACCTCCTCATAATCCTAACAACCATTTATCTGGTTTGGATCAGATGATGTGGACTCATTCAAACTTTTGTCCATGCTCAGCAGCTGGCTAATCAGCTACCCAAATCAGCCAGCTGGAACAGCTCAGAAGTTCTTGCTAGCTGGTGTCTGCTAGCTAGTTGTTGACTCCTAGGACCAAAGTATTAGAACTGCTGATTTTGAAAAGTCAGAAGTTTGTCTTTTTAAGGGACTGAAAGAAGATTTTCAATTTGTCACAACAATTGGAGGAACTGAAAAACATGGCTTTGTGTATATAAAAATGAGCTGTGACCAAGATATCATTAGCAAAACTGTAACATTTTGTCTTTTCTTAAACATTTGCACAAAAAGGTATCAGATTATCATTTTTACCCACTTATACACTTATTCCTAAACTATCTTAACAACGATAATGATACTCTTGGGATTTAAAACATTTTTGAGAAAATGTACAAACATTATTTTCCAAATACATCACTGCCTATGATGAAACAGGCAAAGAAAATCACGTCATTTTTAATTTTGTTCAGGCCAAGGACCCTGAACTTGAAATATCTAAACTGAAATATCTGTTATTAATATTCTTAATTACACCTTTTCGTTTTTCTGCAGTGACATCAAATCGTCCTCTGTAAAAAAAATAAATTAAAATAAAAAAGACCTAAGAGTAGAAACGTTATCTTCCAGAGTCTGCCGCCGCTCCACGTGGCCTGCCTTTATGGCGAGTTGGGTGATGTTCAGCTCCTGGTGAAGTTCAGGCAACAGTGGATCAACAGCAGTGATTCCCAAGGTCGCCGGCCCCTCCACATGGTCCTGTCCTACAAGAGCTTCCCCAGAACCTGCGCCTGTCTCAGATACCTGCTGGAGCACGACGCCGACGTTAATGCGTAAGAAGGCTGCGCAGGCAGCTGTATTTTCTATTTTGGGTTATTTTAGAAATATGAAATTGTTCACGCTCAGCGGCTGCATACACAACATTCAAATTACCAAAGAAATGCTTTTTAAAAGAGATAATGATTGCAATGATGATAATTATGATGGTGATGATAATAAATAAAGCTGAGGTTTTTTGGGGGGTGTTTCAAACCAGCACCACAGACTTGGGGCAGACCCCGTTGCACCTGGCCGCCTCTGAGGGCTTTCTCGACTGTGCAGAGATCCTCGTGAAGGCCGGAGCAGATGTTTTGGCCAAGGACAGCTTGGGGCAGACACCTCTGGACTTAGCCTGCATCTGGTGCCACAGGAAGGTAGCGAGGTAGAGCAAGCTCACACCAAAATAAAAGTTTAAACTGTTGTAGTTGAAACAGCTACTTCCTTTAAACAAATCTCTTGTTTGTGTGTGTGTGTGGGCAGGTATCTGAAGAGCTGTATGTGGCATGTGAATAAAGAGAAAGAAAGAAAGGAGAGAGTGCTGGTTCAGGCCTTATACACTGATCTTGTGGGCATGGCCAAACAGAATAATCTCACCAGAAAGGTTAGTTTATAGGAGTTTGTTTATATGACATGGAAAGTTAAATAGAATATTATGTGTATGTGTATACTCTTTAAATATAAAGAATATACACATACATTATCAACGCCTTGTCTTAAACTGGCTCATAAAGTATAAAACCGCGGCTCCCGTGAGGCAGGAAGGCCTCTGCAGTGTAAATGGGGGCTTTATTATAGTAGAGTCAAGGTTTTTATGAACAGCTTTCTTATGCTGTTTGCACTTTCTCCCTCCATCATTAGACACTCACTGATGAAAAGGTGGCTGAGTGGGCAAAGAAGAAAGGCGTGGCCCTCCTGAAGGATTTCTCCCTCAGGGAGCAGGTGAGCAAGTATCACACCAAGTGCTTCTTAGCAGATCAGAGCAACTGTGAGTCAAAGCATGCAAAGGCCCACTGTGAGGAGCAGCAGCCTGAAGGCATTAAAGAGGACAGGAACACCCTTCCTAAGCCACCCTTCAAACCATGGAGCATCTTCACAGGCCTCCAGCCAAAGAAACCCCTCGCAGAACCCGACCTCCGTGACAGCGTCACCATTTGGAGGGACAGCTCCAGCAGGCAACTTCAGTACACCACCAGGTGGGACAGCACGCCTCGCCCCGCTCCTAACCTGCCTCTGGATGTCCTTGAGAGGGTGTTGTTTCCCAGAGCCTTCCCTTCCAGGATCACCTGGCCACAGGACTTTGAGTCACAGAACATGGTGGAGGTCAAGCATCAAGGATGCCCTCAGGAGCACAACACCTCCCCCTGGACAGAGGTGGCCATGTGTCTGGTTGAGGTGCTGGAGTTTAGACAGTACTGACTTTCCCAGTCTTGGCTGAAGAGATTTAACCTGAAACTGGGAACAGGCTCCGAAGAAATGCATTAAAAGCTTGAGTGTCACTATGTTTAGAGTTTGTCAAATAGCTTTTTCAAATGGAAACATTTGACATCAACATACGTGAAAAAACATTTAGTGGAACTATTAAGCTCATTTTCAGCTTCATATTTTTTCATTCTTGAACTCTACTAGGGTAGCTTTGCATGACTCATAGATCATAATAATCCTTATACTAAACATTAGTGCAGCACCTCAGATCATCATGTCTGAAACAAGCCGTTCTCAGCTCCTCTCCATTTAAGGACACCATTCTTCTGATTGGCAGCCCCTCGTCAGCAGATTTAGACAGAACCAGATGGATGTAACTGAGATGACTAGATTAGGAATATCTGATCCCATTAACATCACACTGAGGCATGAGCAGAAAGAAATTCTCTGAAACATGAGCGTTTGCTCCAGGGGATTACCTGTATATGTACTCATAACTTGAAAGATATAAGGTCCCTTTTAATAGTTTTTAAATCAAGTTAAAAATATCAATAAAAGGTCGTACATAAAGCTGTTGTTGCTATTTTTTTTATTTTGAAACTATTTAAAGTGTCTAGTAATCTTTGGGCCCTGGTCGGAAACAACCCCCCGAAATTGAAAAGCATTTGGGAAAACGGATACGTTGCTGATCTTCAAGAGCTTCAGCAGGCACAAAACTGAACCTTGTCTTTGAGAATATCCAGGCATCCCGGAGTGTTAAATGTTCTTTATCCTGTCTACTTTTTAAACCTGAGAGTTTCCAATAAATGCCAGCAACCATCATCATTCACACCCACAGCATATATCAGGAGATACTCTGTGTGGGAAGGGCCGGGGGGATTGAACCTGTGATTGGTGGCCAACCCACTCTTCCACCTGCACCACAACCTCAGCTGCAAGTGACAAAAATTAAAAATGCCATCCGCTCCTGAAGCTGAACTTATAAATGCGGGGTGAACAGAGGGGTGAACGAAAGGTGAGAAAACCTCCGTGAACTGGGTCGCCTGTCACAGGTGTATCCCTGCACTCTCACTCATATCCCCCAGGGAAGTGAATCGGGATCCAGGTGAGGGCTTGTCAACAGCATTAGAGTGTGAACTCTGAGCTGTGGCCTGTCAGCTGAAGGCTTTTGTGTGTGTGTGTGTGTGTGTGTGTGTGTGTGTGTGTGTGTGTGTGTGTGTGTGTGTCTGCATGCATTATTTTTTCTCCTCCTTCCTTTGAATTCATGGAGCACTTCACACCTTGATGGGGGTCAAAGTGCACACTAGCATCAACCGGGTGTACTCTGTGATCTAGGCCACATGGGATCTAAATAAGAAAGCCATCTGCCCCGACACACACTTGACAGGTCGGGGCGTGACAGCAGTTAGAAAATCCATCACGGTGCAAATACAACGTAACAGACTGGAAGCTATAACCTGATTTAACTGTAAATAATAAACATCAGTAAGTGTTTCTGTTCCCTTTATTTCAGCCTGTAAAAAATAACCATTTAATCCAAAGTTATTTCACTAAACTCTTTTAATTACACAGCTGCACGCATATCAGCCTGCAGTGAATCACACTGGGGAATTGATAAAAGGAATTTTGTCCTTTTTAATGTTTGTCTCTTTATACCACACTGAGCAGCTTTTCTCCCCAACAGCGGTGAGCTTAAAAAAAGTCACTGCAAAAGTTTGATCTCTACAAGTGTTTACATTTGTCTTTGATGTCAGGTATGTCAGTTTAAATTCTTACAAACAGTCCAAAACAAAAACAAAACAAAGGATGCTGTAGTGCTGGTGGTTTATGAGTAGAAGCACATGAAATCTTATCGTTTCTGTGGCCAAATGCTGATGAGCGCTGAGATCCAGTGCAGGAAACATGCCTCGTAGCTCACTTCAATAGTTAAAAGTAAACCTTCACAAGTGCCTTTGCTGAATTCATTTTCTGAGATATTATATGCCAGGCGGGATATTGTTTATACCATGTCATACTTTGTAAAACAGAGCAGGACTTCTCCACAGTTTGTCCTTCTTCATTTCCAGTAATCTAATTAAAATGTTTGTTTGGCGACCTGTAGCAACTAATATGCCATTTTTTTAAAACCAAAATCCAAGTTTGGAGTGCAGGAATGAATCATAAAGTACCTCTGATCTGTCTCATATCTAAGAAATCCTCTTCATCAGAATTTCTTCTTATTTTTAACACTACTCCGTGTATGGAATCAGATGAAGTGTGAGGCCTTTGACACACGTACGACAGAAAGGAAAAACAAGTATTTATCTCTGGTTGTTATTTTTTAAACCCCACATGTAGATATTTTATTACTAAAGCTTTAAAAAAAAGAGTCCAACTTGACATGAAAGCATCACGCTACACATAGGATCCCCACAACGAGGTCTCTGGTGGGTGTTACTGGCAGTCAGTACAGACAGAAAGACAAAGACAGACAGACGTGGCCTGGGTAAACTCGCCGGGCTCGTCCAGCAGGAAGCTCTGATCTGTTCATTGGTCCGTCCTTTTTTTTAAGTTATTTATTTCTTAACATGCCTTTCTTCCCCATTTGGCCACAGCGTCATTTTAGTCCCATCCAGAAACAATTTCCACTGTCCTTCCTGCTTCCCCTTTGATCTTCAACACGTACTCGCACGTCCCCACTGACCCCCGAGGCAGCGCCCCAGACTCTCAAGCCCTCAGTACATTTTCTGTCGGCTGGGCAGCACTGCCTCCTTCAGGAAAGAGAACACCAGGAGGATCCCAGACCTCTTCCCCCGTTTGCCCTTGGTGAAGTAATTAGATACTACATCATCTAAAAAAAAAAAAAGGGGGAGGGGGAAACAGGAAATGTCATTTAAAACATGAGTTTTCTGACTGCACTGACACATAGAAGGCAGGAAACAGGTTTTAAAAACTTACAATGTACTTCAGAAACTAAGAGCAAGTGCAAAAAAGAACGCGCCCAACGTGGGGCTCGAACCCACGACCCTGAGATTAAGAGTCTCATGCTCTACCGACTGAGCTAGCCGGGCTGATGAGCAAAGTCTGTTAAAAGCAATGGCAGCATTGAGACTTACCTCCTTGCTGCATGGTGGACGGGAGAACATTTTCTCCTGCTGACAGCGACACAAAGAAGGCAAAGGGGATCACCCACAGGCAGATGGTGAAGTAGGCAAGCACCTATGTCCAGTTGAGCATAAATGGCACATGATTATACAAGAAAGAGAAATATAAAAAGATCTATATCCAAAACTGTACACAGTATTGTGAATCTGAGATTACATTACCTCTGAGAATGGGTAATACTCTTGTGCAAAGTACTGGAAGGCCATGTAATGGTTCACCACCACCAACACTGCAGCGAGAAAATTTACACTCATTACACTGACAAACGCTGTCATTTGACTCACAGTTTAATGTGTAAGAAGTCCATATTAGGACTAAAGGAAAATGAATCTATCCTTCTAGATGTGCACACAACAACCAGGCCAAAATATTAAAACCTCCTGCAAAATACTGTTTCACCAAAACAGCTCTGACCTGTCCTGGCACGGGGCTGTTGGTAGTGGAAAGTTAAAGTGGATTGGGCTTGTTTCAGGATATGCTGCATACGTTTCATTTGATTTGGATCTGGGGAGTCTGGATGCCAGAGGGGTGTACTATACAAGAAGTTTAACAAAACCAGGCTTTCTTTCCTTTAGCTGGCTCAACAACAGTTATCACAAATGGCAGCTATAAAAACTCCTGTTAAGCTTGCTTCAGGCCCTCAGCACTCACTTATAAAGGAGCATTTCACAGGTCATGTGACTCTTCATCAGCACAAAATGATCCCTGTGAGTGACACCTACTCCAGTCAGAGACATTAGTAGATGATAATGATGATGATAAAAAGTACAGCTTAACAATTTAATTATTTAAATCATACAGAGAATCTTTAATGCACTTAAAACGAGCTCTAAATTAAAGAAACAGTAAAAATGCGGCGCTTCCAGGTGATTTTTAAATCTGAAATTGAACATGATTTTGCTCCAACCAAGAATCAGTATTTCGCATGAGTTACCATGGTGATTTAACCAAGAAAAAGAGAGCCGCTTTTCTGACACAAAAACCTTTTCTTTAAGCTTGACACAGCTCACCAAGCCATTAATCTGGCTTTATAGTGCAACCCTGTGAACAAAACCTCAGGCTGTTTGTTTTGTTTGCTGTGCAGTGAAGCACATTTTCCTGCCAGTGGAGGCCACTACCAGAACTCAAGGCTTTCCAGTGTAATATTGGTTGGTAATGATATGATCAATAAAACACAGTTAAAGCAGTTCAGGCTGATCAGTGTTAATAGCAGATAGCATCCTTATTGATTTGTTAACTTTTCCCCCCTTTTCAGATTGTATTTGCTTAGTTTTACCAAATAATTCAAGGCAAATGTGTGTTACACTTACCACAGGAGAGGATGAAGTTTGGGGAGCTCAGAAGTATGTAAGGGAAGGTCTGCAGGAGTCCGAAATAAACCAGGTTTGTGAAGAGACCGACTCCCACCATCAACATTGGAAAGCCTTCGAACATATAGAGGCATACCAGCACCCCTGTAGAGAACTGGACACATCCACAGAAATCGTAAAAACCACTGTTGACCTGCATGTACAGCACATCATTAAAACAAGTACCTAAAGACAATCTCATCATTAAGTCACACCCAAATACTCACCAGTATCATGTACTTTATTATTCGGCTGGTGGCTACTGTGTACTCTTCTATTAGTTCAGCCAGGTAGTAGAGGCCAGCAGCTGAGAGAAAATGAAAGGTAATGAGCAACCAAAGAAGAAGACTTGGGGAGGGGCGTCAGTGTGAATAAAAGAGTAAGACACAGTTACTTTTAGGGTTGTTTTTGTTTTTTGTTTTTTTATAGACTGCTAAATTTGTTCTGTCGCTTTTGCTGCAAATCATTCTGCTTAAAAAAAGAAATAAATAAAACATTTACATACAAATTTAGGGAAAGCAGGTGGTACAGTTTAGGTTTTGGAGCCACGAGGAGAAAGGATTCAACACCTGAGCAGCTAAAATTTACTGAAGGCAAACTGAGTATGTGACATTTTTCAAGATTTGTTGCAAAGGCTTTATCGACATTCAATACCTAGCTCCTGTGAACAGCCGTGGCAGAGCAACAAAGACGGACCAAATAATGTAGGTTCATTTGAGCAACACTGACACGACCCACAGTTACTGAGCTCATGTGGAAGGAAGGCCAAACAGACAGTAAATTGATCAGACTCGTCAATATGTGTGAACTGGATACTACCTGTGAGGGAGAAGCCAAGACATAAAACATGTCTGTACTTCTTTCACTAAATATAACAGCTTTCTAAAACTACTATTGGCTAAAGTATGATTTTTTTTAAAAGAAGTTATGCGTTATTAATCAGAATAAGCATCTGAGTTATGAGTAATGGCTTTGTGTGTTGAAGGCCATGTGTTTGCAGCTTGCACACACAATTAAACTTACTCAAACTATAGTCCTTAAACAGTAATAACAAACACTGTTACTTGTCCAAAAATATTAAAACAAATAATTCTAAAACGAATGAACACTTAATAAGCAGTTAAGCTTGGCGTACGCTGGCCTTGATCTATACAACTCCAACATCATTGTGAAGTTTGCGGACGACACTACAGTGGTGGGTCTTATCACCAACAGTGATGAGACGGCTTACAGGGAGGAGGTCAGCGCCCTGACCCACTGGTGTCAAGACAACCATCTCACCCTCAACGTCGCAAAGACAAAGGAGTTGATAGTGGACTTCCGGAGGTGCAGAGAAGTACACACCCCCATCACCATCAACGGCGCTGCTGTGGAGAGAGTGAGCAGCTTCCACTTCCTTGGAGTACATCTGGCTGAGGATCTTACGTGGTCAGTACACATAAACAAAACAGTGAAGAAGGCGCAACAGCGCCTCTTCTTTCTCAGGAGATTGAAAAGATTCGGCATGAGCCCCCGCATCCTCAGGACCTTCTATCGCTGTGCCATTGAGAGCATCCTCACTGGATGCATCACCACCTGGTATGGCAACAGCACCGCCTACAACTGCAAAGCTCTCCAGCGAGTAGTGCGGTGCTCTGAACGGATAATTGGAGGTGAGCTTCCCTCCCTCCAAGACATCTACAGGAAGCGCTGCCTGAGGAAAGCGGGGAGGATCATCAAGGACTCCAGTCACCCCAGCCATAAACTGTTCAGACTGCTTCCATCAGGAAGGAGGTTCTGCAGCATCCGGTCCCGTACCAGCAGACTGAGAGACAGCTTTTTCCACCAGGCCATCAGACTGCTGAACACGTCATAGACACCTCAGCTTCACTACTGGAACTTTAACATTATGCACTCCATACTGTACAGTAATGCCACTGTTTTGCACATGTCTTACTCTGTATATTTTTATATATTTTATTTATTGTTTACTCTATTTAATTTGTAAAATATGTGTACACACACACACACACACACACGTAGAAAAATATTTAGTATACACATCCAGAAATGCACTATTATATATTGTACATATATTTATTAGTTTCAGATGTAGCCATTCTTGTATTTTGCTTGTTTACATTCTTGTATTTTGCACAACTCTGTTGCTTGTGAAGCTCGCACACAAGAATTTCACTCACATGTGCTGTGCCAATGTACCTGCACATGTGATGTGACAATAAAAGTGATTTGATTTGATCTATAAAAAAATGAGGACACAATGAGATAACTCATGTCATGAGTTGTCTCATTGAAAATGAAAACGATATACGTCATGAATATTTGCTGTTTTATTTTCTCATCTGCTGACAGGTCAGGTCACATGACTGAGCGTGTCATGCAGTAGGTGTTACGTGGCCAGGTAAAAGTCTACATGGACGGACCTCTGGCTTTGGGCCAAGCCTTCATTAAAAGTTTCGTACATGTAGGCTGCTCCTCTCCTGCGCTAACATCCTCCTCTCTGATGTAAACAGAAATACATGAGCGTAATTTAAAGCCTTCACGTTAGATTAGCATGAATCCTGCAGTTGGAGTCGGTCTTCACACCAGATTACAAAAAGAGGCCGAACTCTGTGCTGCTGAATCGGCTGATCAGTTAGTATCGATTAGGAGTTAAAGACAAAGAGAAAGAGAAAGTGATTCTGCTGCCCCCCCCCCCAAAAAAAAAGAAAATTTGAACATTTACCTAATAAAGATTGTCTGTTAACATTTAAAAGGTAGTCATTACAAAATATCTAATATCTTTTTTTTCAATCAATTCTCTTCCTCTTAACTTCCTGTCCTTTAAAGCTAACTAGCCCAGACGCCAGTAGGTAGCTTTCAGGACTCTGCTTCGTTCACTAACACGGCTTACATGCATATTTTATTACTGCGTTTTAAGTCGATAGCTGTTGGCAAAGCGGAGCTCAGTTATCACTCGCTAGCGCACCTTAATCTGCTGACTTGATCCGCTAGCATTGGCAGGCAAATATGAGCTACCTAGGCTAACAGCTGCAGGGGGATTTCAGCAAGCACTTACCTATTGCTAACGTGACGAAGGATATCTGGATGAGCAGCGACAGCCAGCTCAGTAAATAAATAAACCACATTGCTCTGCATATGCAACAGCACACAAAATAAGAAAATAATAGAGAGAGCAGCTAGCTGGTAGCTAACTAGCGCTGGTCAAAGTTCCTCCCCCTGGTGTTTCAGTACGAGCTGAGGAGAGTCGTAAAGCCAGGCCTCAGAGCCCGGAAGGACTGACTTGTTTAGTTACAGCCCCACCTGTGGTGGGAGGAGTAATGCAACGCCAGAGGAATAATGTTTTTTGAGTTAATAATAAAAAAAATATAAAGGGTGGTGCCTCTATGTGTGTGTTTGTGGGACGGGGGTCTCCGGGTACACCCTCTCCAAATGTCCAAAGATATTTTAATGATAATATGTTAAATTTCACCATGTAAATCTATTTGTGCCAACCACAAAAATACACAAAAATTTAGAAATGTGAAAGAAAATACAGTAAGTCAAAATTTTTGTAAAAATGTTCAAGTCAATCTTTAAGAAATCAAGTCAAAAAGTATTTCTTTCTAAATAACAATTACTACATCTACTATTTAATAAAGGTCAAAATCGTGATAAATTGTACTGGCATGGTCAAAAACAAACAAATATGCCATTAAATGCGCCAAAAATGTGATATGAATGTTTATATTAAAGCAGTTACAGTAGTGCAGTGGTTAGCACTACAGCCTCACAGCACGAGCGTACAGTGGTTCAAACCTGCCAGCCAGCTGTGTCGGGTTTGGACGCTCTGTATGGGCTGCATGGGCTTCCTCCCACAGTCCACAGACATGCATCTCATGCCAACTAGTGATTCTAAATTAAGAGTAGGTGTGAGTGTGCATGATTGTTGGTCATTCTGCAGACCAGCAACCACGTTACAGCTGAGATAGAATCTCAGTTAGCATTAATTCACCTGTTAGTGACATTAACATTTCATTTTCACTTGTATTAATTTATTTAAAACGTAGATTTAGTCATTTTTATATTTTTGAGGCTTTTAATAGAAGCAGATTTATTTAATGGGTATTCTTTACTTCTTTATTTAGTTTTTTATTTATTCGTGTTTAATTATGGCAGTTTCAGGCTTCCACAGCTGTAAGACCAAATGTATCCTTATGAAGTCAAAATATTTCCTACTATAGCTCATGATGGCAGGAAATCTGTAAGAAAAAGTGAGGAAAATGTGTGCTCTAAGTATTTCCACCGTTAATTAAATATACAAACCACAGACATCAGCAGCAGTAGGACGTCAAACCTCGTTTCTCTTGGTCCCCAAGTAGCCACATTGTATATACTTTAGATTAACGATATCTGTGTAATTATTTTATTCTGCAGCTTAAAGCAGTTTTTCAGCCTCCCCTGTAGGAAGCTGATGAATACAAAAATTAGTTTTAACCAAGAAGACCAGATCTCTGTGTTCGTTTCTGAAGAATGGGCCACTGGCTCAGTTAAATTTGATTCAGGATACGTAGACTTAGAAGTGGGTTTAATAGCAGCCACGATTAGAGCTCATTGCAAGGAAATCAGCGCACATTTATAGTTAAAGAAAAACACGTTAAGAGGAAAATTAATTTACATTATTTGAATCTCACCTCAGTGTGAGTCAATGACACATCTTTAATATCATCTGTATCTATAGGATCCTTTTCAGAGGGCTTCGTTTCTTTCTCTCGCACTTAGACACGAGCTTTTGTGTGCATGGATTCAACAGCTAGAAAGACGCGAGTACACACTATGTCTCAAAGCCTGACACTTCTGAGACTGAGATATAAACCAATAAAAAATGCATGATTAAGAGTGAAAAGGCAGACCTTCTGGTACAGAGCTAAATAAAGTAAATATATAATATGAAGACAGTGTGAAGACAGTAAAATGGTGTCAAAGTCAAAGGTGGGAGTAATTTCATCCTCTTTTCAAACGCTTTTAACAAACGCAGATAGACAGGGAGGCAGGTAGCACAGTGTGAAGGTGCATGGATTCATTCATGTATGCATGCATGCGCACATATATATGCAGGACCTGTGTGGAGGTGAGAAAACAAAAGGCAGCCTGCTACATTTTAAAGAAACTTTCAGGGGGGACACACACAGATCACCCGAGGCTCTTATCTCAGCAGCACCTCTGGGCTCTCGGTGCGACAGCTTTAATGTGTCCAAATGAATGGCTGCCACTATTCTTCTGCTGGATCGAGCTTTAAGAGACAGACACCTTGGGAGAGGAGCGGGCAATCACATTCACGCAAGTGTTTTCTTTAATGGCTCGGGCTATTTTCCATCTATTTTCTGCACTTAGATCAGCTGAAATCCCAGTTTCTGAAAGGGATGATGCTGACTATTAAATACGGCTGAAAGAGTGCCATTTCCTTTGACACGCAACAAGGTTTTTATAGACCTGGGTTAAACGGCATTTGAAAAATGCTTTTCTTTGTTTTTCTTTAGCTGGAAATGCAAGATTTAATGTTCGTTTACGATATAATCCTGACCCTCGGATTCCCTCAAGAAAATAAAACAAACACAAGCAACTGCTGTCGGATAGAGAGCTGACAGCTAAAGTTTTTATTTAAAATTTTCAAGGCAAGTCAGGCAGTGCTGGTTTGTTGTAAGACATCAAGGAGGCAGTGCATTTAAATACCGAAAGATGTAAAGATAAAATGGATTCTTTTAAAGTCAAACATGCGTAGTTTGCTCAATCATCTTTGGTCTATTGTCATATAAACCTGCAGTATCATAATAACAATAATAATAATAATAATAATAATAATAGCAACCAGCATGTCCTCCTCTCACAGCTGTCAGGCTTGGTGACTGATGAACAGTGCTGATGCTCTGATGCGAGAGTCTCTCTTCTCTCGGTTCTGCTTCAGCCTCCGGAGCACAGGGGCGCTGCCGCTCTCACCTGCCCAGGGAGCGTCGCCTGCCACTGGAACACACGGCAAACCTGGTTGGACATCTGCACAGAGATCACCGCATATTCATTTTAGGCACGAGTCTGAAAATGGGAGCTAAAGGGTGGGCTAAAACAACTGAAAGCAGGTAGAGAATAAAGAGGTTTTCTCTGATTAGGAAATATAGGTAAGTCAGAGGGAGCGAAATGGCTCTCGGCCTGAAAGGGAGCCAGTTATTTCTCCCTTTTGTGTCTGTATCTTTCCCTTTTAACAGTGAATTTGCATAACTTCTTTCCTTTTTTAAAAATAAGTGGATGAAGATCATTAGAAGTATTAATGCAAACAAATACTAAAAGCTGGCATCTAGAATTTCTCTCTTTTTTTTAAACTAATGAAAAACATCTAAAAGCATATGTCCTGGTTACATCCTGGTAGGCACTTTGCATTTGTAACTAACCTCCTGGTTGTAAGCCACCGACCACTCACATCTGCCCTAGACTCATGTGGTATTTGCGCTAACACTTTGAGTTTAATGAAACGTGTCACGTGCATTTATTTTTGGACGACTAAGTTATAATCATGAGAGCCATCAATACTACAGAAGGGCTGGCTCGCATACGTCTTCAACCCAGCAGCACAGAAGATCTTTAACCAATCAGCGTCACCTATTCAGTACCCTACCACATCTGAAATGTAGCCACAGTGAAGTTGACTTTTGACCTTTTTAGTTTTGTCACAAGCCGCTAGCGACATGGAGACAAGCGCAAAGGTGTCCTTAGATCTTGGTGCCAAGACGCCACCCACAGCAATCAGGAGACAAATGTCACTCCCAGCTTGTCATTTATGCACAGAAACCCTTCTTTATTAAACATTTAAATGCAGTGGGTGTGTTATTTTTGATGTGCATTGAACACACACATGCATTATTTTTCACTGTGCAGGGTTTATGATTTAATGGGTATATTTCCAACGCTAAGATAAACAGCAAGTGAAAGCAAACCTAAACAGATGGTAAGAAATGGCTCACTGATGATCTGCAACACTGTCACTCCCACTTCCTCGCAGGTCTTGACCTATCAAACAGAACCCACTGCATTTCTCTGACATCATCAGCTTCAGACAAAACGGCAGGATCCGATGTCTTGAGATGAGAGCAGGTTGATATAAATGGTAACATCTTCATCGTTCTACACTATCAGACATTTCTGTGAAATTGTGTCTAGTTGGTAAATGAAGTCTCCATGTAAAGTCCAAAGCTGTTTTGTGAGGTCAGAGTAACGCTGACCTTCCGCCACCAAGTTCCACTCATCTTTGAGTCAAAGTGAATGTTTGTGCCCAATCTGACAGCATTTATGAGATATCAGAGTGGGACATATGGAAGGCAAATTAAACTGGCCTCTTTGAGCAGGGAAACATGCATCATATTTATATACAATAGACACAATTAACAAACAACAACAGTAAGACCGATCCACTTAACCCTTATAGTTCAGGTTAATGCGCCCCATTTTAATATATGACAAATATTTGAACAAAATCCAGATTGGAGACTCTGGTCTCCCCAACCTTATGTTTGAAATACCTGGCATAGAAATTATATGTAGTGCACATAAGCAACAGAGGACACACAGAAGTCACAGAATCAGAACTGGTGGCATGGTGGTGGAGTGGTTAGCACTGTCGCCTCACAGCAAGAAGACTGGTGTGTTTATCCTTGGTCGGGCTTTTCTGTGTGGAGCTTGCATGTTAAACCCATTGAAGCAGGTTTTCTCTGGAGACTAAGGCTTCCTCACACACTCCAAAGACTTGTTGGGTTAAATGGCGATCTAAATTGGTCTAAATGTGAGGTAAATAAAGAGCCTCAAGTGCACACAGTTAAAGTGTGACTTGTAGTTAAAAGACCTTTGAGTGTTCGGTAAGGCTAAAAAAGTGTATTCATCTGTTTGTGCTCGTGCCTTGCACCTGAAAGCACAAATAATGTAAGAAAACAATCTAATAAACAAATTAGAATCAATTTATTGTGATCTCATTGTAATTTAAGCTGATTAAAGAGTTCTAGAAGGTCATAAGATTATAAAGGCACCTGAGCTGTCATTTTGCTGAGTGTGGGAACACATGCACAAAACCCAGCATTCGTTTTGGCAGCTATGTTTTCATGTTTTAGATAGAACAAAATCGGATATTGTGTGATAATAGATGCTTTTTTTCCAAAAACAAGTGTTGTAAAATCACTCTCTGTTCTTTGAAGCCTTAATTAAGCATGAATCATTCATGTATCAATGGCAGACAGGCCATTTATAATTAGCCAGCGTCACACTGTGAAGGTACAGGTATAGTATATGGTTAGGAAAACACCATGCTTGTCAGCGTACCCTGTGGTTGATTTGAGGGTGGTGGTTCCTGATTGTCTCCCATTGCTCTCCTCCTCCTCTGGAGCACCATCAGGAGCTCTGCTTCGCCCACATTTCGGCCAGTTCCCCTCCTGGATGGCACTCTGCGGAGGTGCTGACGCTTCATGTTGTCCTGATGTATTAAATAGTTAAAGATGGATCAAACACAGCAGATCAAGCTGCCATGCATCGCTCACGGCTGTAAGGTTTTTTTTTTTCTTTTGCAACACAGATGTGACTTTCAGCCCACAGTGAAATTTGATTTTATAGTTATTACCAGCATTCCTTTCAACTCCAGGATGGCTGACTTTCTGTTGTCACTTTTCTGGTCCTGTAAGAAAAGTGTGGATTGCAAAAAAACAAATATCTGTCACTGACACAGATCACAGCTATGTTATAACAGAAAATGAAGAACGGCGGGATAACTGACCTTCCAGGAACTGTCGTCCTCCTGTGGGAAGAAGTTAGATGGTTATGAGACAGAGTTTATATTTATTTCTGCAGGCTATGCTTTTTTATCAGTTTCTTTGGAAAACACTCATATATCAAATGTCAATTCACAGTGCGATTTTTCTACCTGTATTCTCTTCATAGGTCTCAGGACGATGCCTTTCTTTATTCTCTCCATCATTTCATCCACTGCTCTTGCCTTCATGTCCAACAAGGGAGCTGCTTCTTAAGTAATGAAAATGAATATTGGTGCTGAGATTGCTTTCTTAGTCTTCTATGACAGTTTTTTTAAATCAGTGTGGTGTATTGTCCCTATTTTGACAACTTCCACTATTTAGGTATAACATTATGACCGCCTGCCTAATATTCTCCTTTTGATGCCAAAACAGTCCTGACCCATCAAGGCAGGGCCTCCACTAGACCCTGTAGCTGTGTTAGCAACAGATCTCACAAGTCCTGTAAAAAGTGATTTGAGGCCCCCATGGACTTGTTTGTCCAGCACATCCCACAGATGCCCGATTGGATTGACATCTAAGGAATTTGGAGGCCAAGTCAACACCTCAAACTCGTTGTTGTGCTCCTCAAACCGTTCCTGGATCATTTTTGCTTTGTGGCAGGACAGATTATCCTGTTGAAAGTGGTCACAGCCATCAGGGAGTTCTGTTAACATGAAAGGGTGAACATGGTCTGCAACAATGCTTAGGTAGGTGGTACATTTCAAAGTAACATTCACATAGATGACAGGACCTGAGGTCTTCCAGCAGAACATTGCCCAGTGCATCACACTGCTTCCGCCAACTTGCTTTCTTCCCATAGTGCATCCTGGTGCCTGGTGTTCCCCAGGTAACTGATGCACACAACTGGCCATCCATGTGATGTGAAAGAAAATGTGATTTCTCAAATCAGGCCACTTTCTTTCATTGCTCCATGCTCCAGTTCTGATGCTCACATGCCCATTGTTGGTACTTTCAGAGGTGGACATGGGTCAGCATGGACACCCTGACTGGTCTGTGGCTTTGCGGACCATACTCAACAAATTGTGATGCTCTCTTTCTATCAGAACATTTTCAGCAATTTGAGCTACAGTAGCTCGTCTGTTTAGACCACACAGGTCAGCCTTCGCTCAATGTGAATCAATGAGCCTTGGCCATCCATGAGCCCGTCACCGCATCACCGCTGTTCCTTGGACAGCTTTTGATAGACACTGACCACGGGAGTCTCTGAACACCCCACGAGAGCTGCAATTTTAGAGATGTTGTGACCCAGTCATCTAGCCATCACAGTGAGTCAAAATCACTCAAATCCATACGCTTGCCCATTTTTTCTGCTTCTAGCATCAACTTTCATGGTAAAATGTTCACTTGCACCCAAATATTTCCCACCTACTAACAGGTGTCATGATGAAGACATAATCTGTGCTATTTACTGCACTGTCAGGGGTCTGTGTATATTTGCGTGTTTTGTATGTTTGTTCCATCAAATGTTTTATGCAAAGAAGAGATGCTGTAGAATTACTGCCTGAAAAAATTAAGATGCTTTCCAGGAACACAGGACATATATCAAGATGAGGGATCTCGTCGATAATCTAAGATTAAAGCAGAGTCCCTGTTAAATCTCAGTGCTTCAGCAGCCAAACGTGAGTACAGGGACAGGGTGGAACAACAGTTTGACAACCCTCGGAGTATGTGGCAGGGACTAAACACGATCACAGACTTTAGAGGGAAAACCAGCACACCGCAGACCACGGCCTCTCTGTGTGAGGATCTAAACGTATTCTACGCTAGATTCGACACAGCGAACACCATGAGACCGGACAGTGTGCGCACCGCGGATGACGTCAGTGCGCACACTGTGTCTGAGGAGGATGTGCGGAAGTGCTTCAGGAAGGTGAACGCACGCAAAGCTACTGGTCCGGACGGGATTCCCGGCCGCGTCCTCAGGTCATGCGTGGCTCAGCTGGCTGGAGTGTTCACGCACATCTTCAACCTTTCCCTCTCTCTGTCTGTAGTCCCAGCCTGCTTCAAAATGGCCACCATCGTCCCTGTACCCAAATCCTCCACCATCTCCTCATTGAACGACTGGCGACCTGTAGCCCTGACCCCCATCGTAAGCAAATGCTTCGAGAAGCTGGTCAGGGACTTCATCTGCTCTGCACTACCCGACTCACTGGACCCTCTACAGTTTGCATACCGCCACAACAGGTCCACTGATGATGCCATAGCCCTGACACTACACACTGCCCTGTCACACCTGGAGAAGAGAGACACGTATGTGAGGATGCTGTTTGTAGATTACAGCTCAGCATTCAATACCATCATTCCCTCGAAGCTGGACAGGAAACTGCAGGATCTAGGACTGAGCAGCTCCCTCTGCAGCTGGATCCTTAGCTTCCTGTCTGACAGACGCCAGGTGGTCAGACTGGGCAGCATCACCTCATCCCCCATCACACTGAACACTGGTGCTCCACAGGGGTGTGTACTGAGCCCTCTCCTATACTCACTCTACACCTACGACTGCACAGCCACTAACAGCTCCAACATCATTGTGAAGTTTGCGGACGACACTACAGTGGTGGGTCTTATCACCAACGGTGATGAGACGGCTTACAGGGAGGAGGTCAGCGCCCTGACCCACTGGTGTCAAGACAACCATCTCACCCTCAACGTCGCAAAGACAAAGGAGTTGATAGTGGACTTCCGGAGGTGCAGAGAAGTACACACCCCCATCACCATCAACGGCGCTGCTGTGGAGAGAGTGAGCAGCTTCCGGTTCCTTGGCGTACATCTGGCTGAGGATCTTACGTGGTCAGTACACATAAACAAAACAGTGAAGAAGGCGCAGCAGCGCCTCTTCTTTCTCAGGAGACTGAAAAGATTCGGCATGAGCCCCCGCATCCTCAGGACCTTCTATCACTGTGCCATTGAGAGCATCCTCACTGGATGCATCACCACCTGGTATGGCAACAGCACCGCCTACAACTGCAAAGCTCTCCAGCGAGTAGTGCGGTGCTCTGAACGGATAATTGGAGGTGAGCTTCCCTCCCTCCAAGACATCTACAGGAAGCGGTGCCTGAGGAAAGCGGGGAGGATCATCAAGGACTCCAGTCACCCCAGCCATAAACTGTTCAGACTGCTTCCATCAGGAAGGAGGTTCTGCAGCATCCGGTCCCGTACCAGCAGACTGAGAGACAGCTTCTTCCACCAGGCCATCAGACTGATGAACACGTCATAGACACCTCAGCTTCACTACTGGAACTTCAACATTATGCACTCCACACTGTATATAAATGCCACTTGTTTTGCACATATTCAACTCTGTATATTTTATATATTTTATTATTATTATTATTATTATTTAATTTTTTTACTATTTAATTTGTAAAAATGTGTATACACACACACACACACACACACACACATGTAGGAAAATATTTAGTATACACATCCAGAAATGCATACACTATTATATATTGTACATATATTTATTAGTTTCAGGTTGGCCATTCTTGTATTTTGCTCGTTTGTGTTGTTGTGTTTGCACATCTCTGTTGCTTGTGGGGCTCGCACACAAGAATTTCACTCGCATGTGCTGTGCCAGTGTGCCTGCACATGTGATGTGACAATAAAAAGTGATTTGATTTGATTTGATTTGATTTCATGCTGAAGGTTATGTTGCGTGTGGTTAGACGTACTGTTTAAATCATCAGCAGCCTTGGCACCATGTTTCTTCCTGCTCTTCAGGAAATCCTTAAAGCTAGCGGGAGGCAGAGAAAGGGATTATGTCTCTGAAATCAGTCGACCATTGAGTTTTACATATGGACATTTAATATTAAAACATCATCCTCACCAGAATAATCACAACCAACTTAACTCAGCTGATGTGCATTCAATATCTGAAACCATCCTGTGAAACTTAGACTTGTATTCTTAGTAGTAGACGAAGCTATGGCTTATGTTTTTCATACTTGGTAACAGTAGTGGGAGGCGGAGGAGGTGGAGGAGGCGGAGGAGGGAGAGGAGACAGTGGAACGAAGTCAGGAATGGCTTTCTCTCCTGGTTCATCACTTTTATCATCGCTGTTGAGTGTCTGTTGTAACTCTTTCACTAAAAAGAAAGAGAATAGAGAATGGGAAATAACAAAAGCTGATATGGATGAGCTGATTATAAGTCTCTTTAATGCACCGGTGCTCAAACTGATGAGGCTGGAAGCGAATCACTGGTTGCACATCCGTTTGAAGGTGATGACCTCCAATCACTGCTTCAAGAGAACCTGAATATTTCTAAGACATCAGAAGACTTTTCTAAAATGTATTCCATGTCATGTACAGTTATTTTGTTGTGATAAGGTCGTATCTTCAGGCACAAGGGAGTACCTTCTTCCTGGAGCCGGGCGACCAAGCTGTTAGCGTCAGATAGCTGAGTTTCTAAAGTCTTCCTCTCCTCCTCGCTCTTCTCCAGCTGCTCTCTCAGGTTCTGCAGCTCAGAGAGGGCACTGCTCTCCTCCACAGCACTCTGGCTCTGTTTTAACTGATCACAGGAGAGCAGAGGCATGATGAAGATATCAGTTATTTCCACTATGTTCTGTTATCGTGACACTCTCAGTGATCACGTTTACCCACCCGGTCCTGGTAGTAGAGTTGTATGTCACACAGGGCTGTGCTAAGTTGGGATATCTGTTGCAGTGCCTGCTCCAGCTGCACCTGCATTTTCAGGTCTGTCTCTGAGGCCTGGGCCGCCTTCTGCTCCAGGATCATCTGATTGGGGGGGGGAGAGAAACAAATGGAGCTTTGACAATTTCAACACATATTTGGATTCTTTGTTTCTAAGAAAATGGAAAAGAAATACATCACTGACAATGAACCATAATTAGAGGAAAGATGAAGTGAGATCTAAAGGACTGGTTGCTGATTGTCTCCCAGCAGGTGGTTGTCAAACCAGCATTTGACTGAACAATGACTTGGAAGCTTTGTTACGTATTACTCATCGGCTTCACTGAAGAGCAGCGGCAATGCGAACAGGATTATTTTTCTGTGAGACAAAGCATCATTGTTCTCGCAAAAAAAATGTCAGACTTTGCCTTGAATCGTTTGGAAAATGTGCTTCTTTCTTCTCTGCTGTGGAAAATGAATACACCAGCTGTGCTTAATCATTGCTGTGTAGATCTCTTCAATCAGCAGAGTGCTCTAAACAAACCTTTTGCTCTTTTGCACAGGCGTTTGTGACATGTGTTAATGTTGTGCTAGTTGTGCACACAGTTATATAGGCAAAATGCTGGGTTTGAGCAGATTTGATTAGTTTTCGAACCAATAAGGGAGGCGCAGTTAGCACTGTTGTCTCACAGCAAGAGGCTTCTTGGTTTGAACCTTCTGAATGGCTGGAGCTTTCGTGTATTCAAACATTTTCCATGTGCCAGTTGTTTTTCTGGTTTCCTCTCGTCTCCAGCAATATGAGCATTAGGTTAACTGGTGATTGCAAATTGGCTGCAGGTGTGTCTTTCTGTGTTGACCATGTGACAAACCAGCAGCCTGGTCAGGGTGAGCTGGGCCCCTGTGATCCTCAAGCTCCTCTATCACTAACTTGGATAAGTGGTTAAGAGAAGTAATGCACATGTGTAGCCAAAAGAAGTGCAGAATGATCGTGCATCGCAATACTGCAAATGTTACTATTGATCTGATACCAAGTAAATACAAAGCCAGGATTGCTGATACCAATACCGATAACAGTACCGTAAAGACAGCTTATGTAGGACAGAGCAGTTTGTCATGATTTTTGAGCTGGATGCTAATTCTGAACGCATATTTATGACCACTAAATTTTCCACAACAATTAGCACAATTGTGTCGTGCTGGTATCGATCGAATACCAATACCAACATTGGTATCGGTGCTATCGATATTTGGATCGAGGAGCTCGCCTCTAATGCACACAGACTGTTGAATTAGACACAGGAAGGATCAGTCATTCAGAGAGAAGACAGAGACAGGAAATCAAGGCACGGGAGATGCGCAAGGAAAAGCAGTTGCCAAAGTAAAACAGGAAGTGGAAGCATGTAGGACAAAGAAAGGCAGGAAACAAAACATGATCAACGGGAAAAGAACAACAATGACATCAAAACCGAGATGTCATTACATTACATTACATGACCCCCATGTCATTTCCTGACATGGGGGTCCACAGCTGAGCAGCTGCTGTTGATATCATCTGTAGGTGGCACAGTACTTTGTCCACATAGTCTTGTAATGTGTTCCCCAACCAAAACACTGTGACACAAAAAAAAAAAAAAAAAAAAAAAGCTGACCACACCTAAAGAAGTATCCTGACAGAGATAATTATAACCTTAGAGATGGTCTGGTGTGGTGGTGATGGTTAATTTAAATGACACAAATAGCCAGATCTAAAATAAAACCAGCTAAGAAAACCTGCTACGTGTTATTTTGTGTGTAACTGCCCCTAATACCCTTTAATTCCCCTCAAAACAATACAAGGGACGTGACCTCGGTGCACTCTGCTTATAATGGGCGTCTCTCTGATAGATTTTCTAGATTTTTTTTTTGAGAGCAGGTCCGTGATCAGAGAACAGGAAGTGTAAGAAAATGAGGTTTTCATTTCTGTGTTTTTACTATCGGGACAAACTGAAGCAGCAGCTTGGTGTCAGAGCATGCAGCACGAGGCTCCGCGCTGCAAATTACACCGCTTCAATCTGTGGGCTCCCTTTAGCAGAGACCAATTTTCGCACAGCAATTAGCACAATTATTTCATACATACAAACACACACACACACCCCGAGCACACACACTGCAACACAAAGGAACAAAGAAGCACACACAGAAAAAAAAAAAGCTCCAAATCGTTTCCTGTTTGAGGCCCCCGCATCATTATACCACCGTGCATCACACAGGAGAGGTGTGAATGGTTGTTGTTTTCAAAACACATGAAAACAGACAAATAGTGGTGCACACAAGAGGCATTCAGCGCAGGGGGGGTCTTTTACCATGAATTGAGAGTAAAGGGGCTGAATTGTGTGGAGAGTCGGGGGTCCTTTTCACAGGTAAGGACCCCTGTGAGGAAGCCCATTGTGCGCCTGTCCAGTAAATGGAGGAGGCTGCGCACAAAAGCGACAATTGCTATATGCTCGGCAAAACATAAAGGTGTCAGGCGAAGACAGGTTGTGCTTAAAGACCACTATTCTCCTTCGGCGGCAGTGATGACCACTAATTATGGTGCAGGGAGGGGCTAAATGGGAAGAGAGACAGCTTTTTTTTTTTGGAAAGAAAAGCCCTTCATTATGGGAGCAGCTGGGACTGCAACAACTGTGCTGTGTGTGTGTGTTTGTGTGTATTCTGCTTGGGTATGTGTGTGTGTTTTTTAAGTGAATTGATGTTTTTCGTCAATGTGTACAAGTGCGTGTGCGCTTTTGTCTTGTCTCTTCATAGAGGCGACACACATTTGACCAAAGTGTCGTCGGTGTGAGAAACGATGAATGGAGACCTCTTGTGCTGTCCCGCCACATCAGCTGCGGTGCGACAGCAGAAACGTGTGTGTGTGTGTGTGTGCATCCCCCTCCCTCCCCTTTCACTGGAGTGTCCGTCCGTTCCCCACACCCGCCCGAAGGTCAGCGCTAACACTCCTTGTCCCGTTCCTGTGGCACGACCTGTCACCCTCAGTATATATAGGTGTGAATATATGACAAAATGTTTTGTCCAGTGCTGAAAACACACACACAAACACACACACACACACACACAAATACATGCACGCGCTCGCACCTGGGTGGCTAAGACTTCAGCGTGTTGCCGGAGGCCCTGCTCCAGCTCCAGCTTCTGAGACATTTCTGTGAACTCATCGGTGACAAGCTGGGACACTGGGTGTGCACACGAGGTGGAGGGGGAGACACACAAAATAAATATTAATGACAAATTTATGATGCTTTTGATTTAGAAGCAAGCAGACTCCTGATTGCATAATGGTTTAGGGTGAATGTCATTTATGAATTAAAAATACACAATGTACCAAATATGGCTCAGATATGTCTATAAGATGGAAAAAAATTGCATAACTAGAGAAAAGTGGGGTGTGTGTGTGTGTGTGTGTGTTGGTTTGTGTGTAATTTCAGTGACATGCTCCTTTAATTGCACTCAAAAGCTGGACTGTTGTTACACTGAAAAATTAATGAACCACAAAAATGAATAATCTCAAGTCTGTTGATTCATGAAAGGATTTTTTAAGTGAATCAATAATGAAAGTAATCTTCAGTCTTCAGTCTCATCTAATCAGGACTTACCTCGTTTGAGTTTATTTACAGTCTTGCTTTGTTTGTTCAGTTTCCTCAGAATGGCCTCCTTCTCTGCAACCTCCAGAGCAAGCTACACACACACACACACACACACACACACACACACACACACAGAGAAAACACGAACTTCAACATTATGACATGTTATAGTCTTATGGTTTGATGATTTACATTTGTTTTATTGTAACAAAGAAGCAGCTGTAAGGTTCGCTTTCACAAAGCAGCCAGTCCCTTTGACTGTACATGAAAGATGGATGTCACTCGCTGGTTTGCAAAGTCTTGTTTTAAAGCATTGAGCTTTTTGAAACTGGACTCGATGAGCGAGGGCGGATCTGACCAACAGTTCTGAGTGCTGGGAGAGACGGCAGGTGTCACCACTCATTACAGCGTCATGCAAACCTTATTTTAAAGTTTCTCCAAAGAATCTGATTCATACTGTTTCAACATCTCCTTCTGAATCATCTTTGAGCTCCTGTGTGTGGTAAAAACTGTCAGAATCATGTCTTCAACCCGGCCACGGCAAAAGCACCAGGAGATAAAAATCAAAAAAGTGCACGACAAGCTCACACCAGCAGATTGCAACGGCCACAACGGGTGATATAAAAGGCTGTTTATTGACCTCCTGAACACTAATTGGAACCATAATTTGCTAAATGGACAACATGTATTATTCAATAAGACTTTAAACAAATGATTGAGACCATAGAGTGAAAAAGAGTTTACTCAGGGTCGGGGTAAAGGGAGCCACAGGCCATTTCCCCATTAATTCCATTACATTTCATTTTATAGCTAGATGAGTCGGCCCCTGCTGGCTATTAGAAAGAATGTAGCTTTAAGGCATCTTTACATACTGTGTTTGGTAGGATTCTTTAAGACAGGGGTGGGGGTCTTGCAGGTTTTAGATGTGTCCTTGATCCAACACAGCTGATTTAAATGGCTAAATGACCTCCTCAACATATCTTGAAGTTCTCCAGAGGCCTGGGAATGAACTAATCATTTGAGTCAGGTGTGTTTGCCAGGGTGATATCTAAAACCTGCAGGACACTGGCCCTCGAGGCCTGGAGTTCCCCATCCCTGCTTTAAGTGCTCAGACTCCACAAATATAAAAACACTGTCTACATTACCTGCTCTCTGAGCTGCGTCTGCTCACTGGTCAGATCCTCCACTTGTTGCTCCAGTTTAAGCTTCTCAGCCAGCAGACCGTCAACAGACGCCTGCAGCTCTGACACACATGACAGGAACAAAAAACAAAACAAAGCAAATAACAAGATTTCATTTTCTATTTTTTCCCATTCTAATTTCAAAATAGCTGTTTTCATATCATGGGTAGTGCCAGCTAACCTGTGATCTTGGCTTGACTCTCAAGCAGCAGCATCTCCTCGCTGCTGCTCCCTCCGGCACCATCCACCTTGTCACCATCCACCTCGTCACCATCCACCTCGTCACCATTAACCGCAGGGTCAAAGGTCACATCAGGCAGGTTTTCAGGTAGTTCAGCGATGAGTGGCATCAACATCTGGCTCTTTCTCTTCAGGACTTTGTTCTCTTTGGTCACCTGGGGAAAAACCAGATCAAATAGAGATCTGATGATTCAGGTGCTGAAGAAAAGGAAAGGAAAGGAAAAAGAGTCCAGTAGTTAACAGACATACTTTGAGAGCCAGTGCCTCAGCGCTCTCCCTGCAGGAGCGCTCTATCTGGAACTGGATCTCCAGCACGTTGATCTCTTTCAGGAGCTGATTGGAAGCTGATAAAGAGCACAGTGGTCAGTCACGAGCTCTTCATATAAGCATACTGAAGAGGATACAATCATTCAGAAAACACACAAAACAAACACATTCATAACAATTTCCTGTGCGAAAGCTCCTCATTTGTTTGTCCCACAGTCCTGTCATTTAAAAAACATGTAAACAACGTTGATATTTGAAGTGAAGAGTCTCACCTTCCTCCAACTCCGACAGCCTGTGATTGGCTTCGTCCCTCTGCTTCTCCAGGATGTGCCACTGGCAATCAAATGTCAACCAGCAAAATGGAAGAAAGAGATCAATCAAGCAACGGCAAATTGACGCAGCTGATTTTCATTCACATTTTATTCCATTATCAGACAGCTGAGGCGCCAAATTACGTTTCAACGTAATCACGTTTATGCGCTTTTTAGACCATTTTGATTTGGCAATTTTGTTTAATTTTTGTGTCATTTCATTTTTATCCTTTCTCTATAATAGCAGGCTCTTGGCACACGGGGAAGATTTCTAAACCAGAGTCAGTCAAATTTTTCCCTTCCATCAAGCTAGCAGTACACCAGCCTGAGCAGGGCTCAGCGATCCCTCCTGTGAAAGGTGTCAGTCACATCAGTACCTGAAGGTCTTCCTCATCTTCAGAGGAGAAAGCACACTCTTCATCCGAGTCTGCGGGCAAAAACATGACACTTTATATTGTGAAATGGCACCTGAAAAAAAAGACACTGGCAGACGACCAAAGATCAGAATGAATAGAAGAGAAACTCCATGAGGTTGTTGTGCTCTGCGAGGAATACGGGAAGTGGAAATCACATGAGGAACCTTTAGAGGTTTTCGCTTTCTGTGGCCTGTGACTCACTGAAGTTTCCCATTGTTACTTCACTTTGTCCTACAGACTAAGGAGTCAGCAGTGTTGAAATCAAAGAAAGAATCCTCTTTCTTGCTGAGCGTCAGATCAGAATAGTCATTCCTGTTGCAGCACATTACCTATGAAACCAAAACTACTACACTGCTTGTGCAGGTTAAACAACACGTGTAGCAGCACCTCCAAAAGTCACAGATTAATTCCTCATATGTCTTTTGTTTAAGCTGTTTAAAAACTGAGGCGTAAGAAACTCACTGCCAGAGAGGCCGGCTCCAAAAGCAAGTCATTACCAACAGACCCTCACATTAAAATGCTGAGTTTTAAAGCAGAAAAAATGTTCCTCATTTCTGTACGACTTCATGACAGCTGTGCGGGGGTCAAAAAAGATTTAGTTGCAATGAGATCAAAAGTGAAATTTTAGCATTATTTTATTTTACACAGTCGAATTTAGCTGGTAACAAAAGCTGTTGTAAACAATCAAACACAAAAAATGTGCATCAACTAGAAAACCTACACAATGAACATCCTCGCAATGTAAAATTTTTTTTATTTTTCTGACGTTTTAAACGCTGAAACTTTTATTTAGCTCCTTCAGCACCTCTTTAGGGCCAGATTATTGAGTCTTACCTGCAGCCGCAGTGTCCTCATCCTCATCTTGTACCCACATCCTGCAATGCTTTCAACTTTTCGCTCTTTAGTAAACAAAAAAAAGAGCTACACGTTCCAGCACACACACAAAAACACAACTTTCTCCTGAACAGCTTTATTATGAAAGAAGCAGAAGGGAATTTCAGCTTAAACCCTCCCCCACTTCCAGGATTCGAAAAAGAGGAACCTTCCCCTGGCGTACGGCCGAAAGCTTCTTACTAATCACAAGACCACGTCTCCAGAGTTTATGAAAAGGATGAGATTATATTTTAATGCAAATAATGATGCTGGATATTACAGATAACACCCCCACCCCTCCCTTTTTGTTTCATATAATATAAAGGGGGAAAATCCATGCATGTGGTCTTTAAGGGAGGACACTGTCTCTCTGCTGCACGATCAACGTCACTCAAGGAGCTGAGGCAAAGGCAAAGCTGCTTTCACTCCTCTATCAGCATCTGCACTCAGAGTTCATGACCTCTGAGGCATCAGACATCTGCCACAGGAGCCACGTTTCTGCGTAATAATTCAGGAGATGACAACAATGGGTGGGAGCATGATGGTGATGCTGATGACACGTATTTCTCTACTGTGAATCATACAGAAACTTCTAATTTCTGAACCCTCACTCCTCTTTTATTCATCCACCTGCCTTCTAGGAGTATATTTTTAGGAGTTCCAAGCTGGGCGGGTTGATGATTCAGGGTGCACGAGGGGTCACATGGAGATCACAGTATTTTTAGTGAAGAAAAAGAAAAAAAAGCATGGCTCTCCATCCCACTCAGTCTATTGGTTTCTCCTGAAAGTAACAAATACACATTTTTACAGGGGTTCTTTAGCAGATTGTCACAAGTTGTCACAAGTTAAAGCGTAGTAAATTGAGCATTTTCACAGTATTGCTGCCTTCAGAGAGACTACATACATATATATATATATATATATATATATATGTATATATATATATATATATATATATATATATATATATATATATATATATAATTATATAATATTGACCTTCAAACCTTATGTTTCATACCTAGTTATGTACTTGTCCACAATTCGTTGTCTCCTTTGAAGCTATGAGGTCAAACATAAAACAATCTATAGCACTTCTTTGAGTCTTTATTAATTCCATAATTACAGCTATTATTGTTGGAAGAGAGTCAAATAATGCTCCAAGAAGCCAGCTTGTGAAATAAATTAGCAAAGTGTCCACTGGCTTCTTTATTTTATGTCAATTAAAATCAGAAAGTAGTTTCTCTTTAAATCCCTCGACACGCTGGCATTCATCATTTCCAGCACAAACACTGGGACAATGATTATTTTCAATAATTCCTGATGAAAGCAGGACGCTAATCAAAGGATCTCATTGAAATGCTTTTCAATCACTTTCGGTGCGCATATGCAGCTCAAGTACAGAGATCTGCTGTGGTTCACTGCAGAGGGACATCCTTGTCGTCTCTCTCTCAGTGTGTTGCTCTCTTTACAGGCACCACCTGAGCACCAAGCCCTCCTCCAGCCTGTCACCCTGACCTTTACTAATGATTTTTCACCATGCTAATAAAGGTGAAATTGTCACTTAAGATTAGCCGTTGTCTGGTGTTTCTCACAGTGTGCATCAGTGTCAGAAAACCTCATTAAAAACCAGAATATTTAATCTTCTGATTAAATAGAGACAGATTAGAAAACCAGCAGGTTTTATTTTTCATCCAAAGAGACTAAACAAGGATGGCTTTGGGTCTCACTCAACCTTTGGTCCTGATATTACTCATGTTTCTTTGTTTTACTTTTTCTGTCATTTGTCAAACATACGAGGAAAAGTTGTTACAAAAAATGTGCAGGACAGTTTTAGACATAAAAAGCTGAATCCTGTGATTTGGTGAAATGCTCCTTTACTAGTTTACTAATCAACATGTAATGATTATTTATTATAGCAGGTTATTTTAGTTCATATTATCTAATAGAATAAAGCTGGGTTGAAAGCATGACCAACAACGACTTCAAGCATTTAAAACTATCTTCTGGGAGTCGACGTTCGTATAATTTAAAACGACCCAACTGGCAACTCTGGTCTGATCTCCTAAACACTCAAATTTTAACCAAGAAATTCAACACAGTGTCATCATGAGCAGATAAAAGTGTTTTCACAGGAACTGTAACGCCTGCTGTGAGCATCCCCATGTAAAGACGATAAACGACAACATAACAAAATACACATGTAAGAATATCCCTCAATAACTTAATATACAGTTATTAAGATTTTATATTATAAAATACAAAAAAAAAAAGAAAGTAATGGCATTATACAATAAATATTTTTAGGAGTACTTTGTAAATAAATAAGAATGTTTTAACCAGATTTTCAGGCCCAACGCATCTGAATACTTTATATTTGCAAGTCCGAATTTTTAGACTGAAGCATAATAATAATAATAATAATAATAATAATAATAATAGGGGTCCACAATTTTCCCATCAAACAGTTTTATGAATGCAGCATTTTTTATTATTTATGTCAGTTATTATGCTCTTTGTTCACTGAATGTCTTTATTTATTTAGTTATTTATTCATTTATCCTCGTTGACAGTCGTATTTGTCAAGGTCTGCGGAGGCAGACCGTGCGGAAAGGTGTGTGGTGGACCCAGGTGCGAACACAAACGAGGATGCAGGAGTGGATTCCAACAAAACGAGCCTTTTATTATGGCTGATGAAAAGAACAAAAACAGAATGAGGGCAGCATACGTGTAGTACTCAACAGAAAACCTAAACTGGACAAAACTAAGGAAAGACTATGGCTGGAGGTACAGAACACAGGAGGTGGTAACACAGACGACGCGAGACAGACTGTATGAAACACAGAGACTAAATACACATGAGGGATGATCAGGGGAAGTGGCCACACATGGGAACACAGCTGACACACATGAACTTAACGACAGGACAGAAGGAGTGAAACTGAATACACTGACCGTGAATGCAGACTTTCAAAGTAAAACAGGAAACATGGAGATTAGACAAGACACATGAACCGGGGAGACGTAGTACAGGGGAGATGACATAACCGACAGCATGGACTTGACAATATAAGACACGCAGACATAAACACACGAAGGGCAAGGGAGACTTAATACACGGGTAATATGTACAAATGGCTGGACTGCCTTAGTAACCCTAAACAAAGAATAAACATCAAAATAGGCTAAAACACAAAACACTGGGTCGCACGACCCAGGACCATGACAGTATTTTTATATTTCTGCTATATTAAACCTTTTCATTCTTTCACTGGGGTAAAGTCACAGTGCTTCATGCTGTCAGCTGTGTTTCCCAGCCTGCATGTGTGCAAGAGCTGGAAAGTTTTCTATTTTAGGTTCGAGCTACTGGTTACTGGCCAGAGCTGTGAAAGGCCGCTCAGGTTTCCTCTTAACAAATCCAATAAACAGGTTATCACTTAAAATCAATCGGACTTGATTCTCACAGAGCGAAGTTATAGCAGCACCTGCGTTTTGACGGATGACACTTGATGCCACCCCGTGAACAGCTGACTAAAACGCGACATTTTTAACCCTGAACACGGCGGCGTGTTAACTAACAGATTCTAACCAACCCCGAGGAGAGCAAGCTGTTCGTGCTGCTTGTGAAAAGTTACTGTCAGAAGTGGGATTCGAACCCACGCCTCCAGGGGAGACTGCGACCTGAACGCAGCGCCTTAGACCGCTCGGCCATCCTGACTTAGGTGATAGCGCAAGTTTTAGAAACGGAACAGTGCATATATGATGATGGGACTTTCCCACGATTCTGCCTGTAGCGCATTTAGATAAAAGACAATGAAAGCGTCAACAGAGCCGCTCCTGTGAAGATAAGGAAGCGAAAGTTCAAGTTGCTGCTCGTTTACCACGTGATAGACACGCTCGCTCTCAAACCTGCAGCCGTTTGACATTTACCTCGACGGTGTAATGTGACAGTGTAACTGCCGCTGCTTACACAGCAGAGGTGGGCAGATCGATAGCATCATACCTGCACCTTATTAGTTCTGGATCGATACTAAACTTATACTATCAATATTTAGCCCACTGAACTGTGTTACAAAGATATACATTAATTTATTTGGAAATCAATAAAATGTACCTCAAATATCAATGTGTTTTATTGTTTTAAATAATTATTGTTGAAAGTAAAAATCACAGTGATTTAGAGCTCGTTAAAATGCGTTCAGAATATTTGCAAATAAATGATGATTCATCAAATAATGATATCAGTGATACTGGCCTGTACTGCTTCCAGCTCTGAAATATTCCAGCGCAATACACGTGGAGGTTGGATGCTGTAGTCTGCATCCAGCTGTGAGTTTGTGCTGTGTGTTCCAGCCAATCACAAAACAAAACTACAAAACTTTGAACAGAATACAGGAAATGAAGCCAACGGCTAGTTTAGAGGCTGATGTGAGTGGTGATTTAGACCTGACCACTTTCCTGTCATCCAAAAAATAGATAAATGATTCATTATTTCCCCACAGGAGTTCAACTCGTTTTGCAGAGAAGGTTTCGCATCACTGAGACCTTGGATGGTAATTCACATAGAATACCACTTGCAGTGGCCTGGTCAGGTCTTTTAGAAGCAAGGCAATAAAGTATTATATCTTGCATGAGACACTAAAAGGATTGAAAAAAAGACTGCATAAAGAGTATCTAAAGAACAAAGCAAGGAGTTGAACAGAGTGTCTACGCAGTAAAAATAGTATGCCCAATTTTAATGTAATTAAAGTGCTCGGTTTAATTAAAGAATGTGTCATATGCAGGTTGCACTCGGGTTAAAGAGGGCTATGCTCATTATTGCTTTATTCATAATTAATCAGGTAGGTTCCACTGAGCTCGAAAGGGAGACACTGCCACGGTGAAAGGCATGAAACAATAATAGAGATCCAATTAAAAAAGCAGCGTCTTACTAAAAATTTTAATTGCTCTTTAAAGCCGTTACGAGTCACCGGCTCTCTCTCACTCAGGGGATTAAAGTTTTTCTTCACGGAGGCAGAGATCATGGTGATTTTGCGAGTCTTTGTGAGCATCCTCTCCGTGATTGGCTGGGGCACCACAC